TAAAATAGTACAGCTGCTTTGAAACAGTCTGGCAGTTCCTCAAAATGTTATACAAAGCCACCATATGACCCAGCCATTCCACTCCTGGGTTCCCAAGAGAGATGAGAACATACACCTACACAAAAACATGCACACAGGGCTGGCCCGGTGGCGCACTGCTACAGTGCGCCGCTTGGGAGCACGGTGGCACTCCCGCCGAGGGTTCGGATCCCACATACAGACCAGTTCCCGCTCACTGGCTGAGCGAGGTGTGGGAGCAACACCGAGGGTTGCGATCCCGTTGCTGGTCCCGGTCCAGTACGGGCGCGACACTGAGGGTTGCGATCCATTGTCGGACACGAAAAAAGACAAAAAGGAAAAAAAAAAACAAAAAACATGCACACAAATGCTCACAGCAGCATTACTCCCAATAGCCAAAAGCTGGAAACAACCCAAATGTCCATCAACTGATACAAAATGTGGTATATCAATAAATGAAATATTATTCAGCCATAAAAAAATGAAGTTCTGAAACATGCTAGAACATGGATAATCCTTGAAAACATCATGCTAAGTAAAAGAAGTCAGACACAAAAGGCCACATACTATATAAGTGCATTTAAATGAAATGCCCAGAATAGGAAAATCCATAGAGACAGAAAATAGATTAGAGGCTCCCTAAGTCTGGAGAAGACAGAGGGATAGAAGAAACTGACAGGCAAGGGGGATAGTGTTTTTCGGGAGCAGGTAATGGAAATGACCTAAAAATGACTGTGGTGATGGACGAACAACTCTGAGAATATACTAAAAAGCATTGAATTGTACACTTTAAATGGATGAATTATAAGTTATGTGAATTATTTCTCAATAAAGCCATTTGTTTAGATATAATGGGAATAAATGTCCTTCCTTTAACTACACAAATTTTGAAAGATAAAGTCATGTCTTAAGAACAAGGGAAAAGCCCAGGGCCAGGCCCAGGAATGCAGGGTGGTAAGCTGTCAGCTGGAGGTGAGTCAACCTTGCGTTGGAAATGCAAAGGTAAACTGAGGCTAGCTTTGTGAAAGCAGAATGTCCAGTCCAAGCAGAGTGATGAACGCTCTCACATTCCACCCCTCTAGTCTCTCAGTTCTTTAGACAAGCACTTTGCAGACTGCAAGGTGCCTGCAAATCACCTGGGGATCTTGTTAAAGTACAGATTCTGACTCAGCTGGTCTAGCGGGAAGGGGCAAGACCCTGCATTTCTTTTTTTTTTTTTTTTTTTTGTCCTTTTTGTGACCAGTAAGGGGATCGCAACCCTTGGCTTGGTGTCACCCGCAACGCGCTCAGCCAGTGAGCGCACCAGCCATCCTTATATAGGATCCAAACCCGTGGCGGGAGCGCCACTGCGCTCGCAAGCGCCACACTCTCCCGAGTGCGCCACGGGGTCAGCCCAGACCCTGCATTTCTAACAGGTTCCCTGGTGATGTCTTGCTTCTGGGCGTTGGCCACACCACTGACTATCAAGACAGGAAAATGAAGCTCAGAGATACTAAGTCACTTCACCCAGGCCACCCAGGCCACCAAGTCCTAAGGGGCAGAGCCAGAATTTGAACCCAGGTCTAACTGACTTTAAAACCCAGGTTCTTTCCATGATAGCACCCATGACACAGGTGTGGTTGCCATGTTCTAAGAGAAGCCTAGGTCTGATCGAAGGATCCAGGCTGTGATGAGCTCTGGAGCCCACATCCCAGGAGAACCAATTGAGAATGAGAGATGTGTGATATAAAAGAAGATTTTGGAGATACGGTAGCCAGCTCCATACCTGAGAACTGTCCTGTGAAGAAGCCACGCCCACCTACCTGGAGGGCCCCAGAGGGGGAACTAGGCCAATGAAGAGACTGTGGGCATATATTTGAGCTTCTTATGAGGAATGTTCTTACAGTAGCAGCTGTCTCGGGATAGAACAGACTATCCCAGGGAGTAGAGACCCCAGATCAGAGACCAGTATTTCCTAGACACACCTTCATGATTTTGACAGATCTGTACACCACTTGTTATCAGCCCTACCAGAAATGAGGCATCATCACTTGCTATAATTATAAAAATAAATCTTACAAAGACAAAACATTTTATTCTAGCTAAAGATATTTAGCTGGGATTCCTAATCTATCAAACATTAAAGGCATATTAGCAGGAAACAGAAATGTTTTCCTCAATATACAAGGGGTCTTCGAAAAGTTCACGGAAAGATTTATATTATCTTTTAATTCCATTTCCAAGAACTTTTTGAAGTACCCTCGTATTTAGAATCAAAATACAATTTGAAAGAACATCATTTTTTCTCCTGAAATGGCCGCACCATCTAAAATCATCTTGCAAAACAGTGGACCTACTGATCTCAACACCATTTCAACCATGAGCTCCTGGATGCTAAATGACTCTACTTTCCCCTTTGAGCTCTGCTCAAAACCTTGCCAGCCCTCTCATCGTCCCCATTGCTCTCCATGGATAAATGCCAGTTTGTTTCAGACGTGGTTGGAGCAGCACCAAAGAGAACTGACCAATAATTGAGCTGGAACTTTATCCTTCCATTAACGCAGCCCCAGACCACGTCTGTTTTCTAGCAGCCCCCTTCTCGCAACGAGAGCCACTGTCCTTTTACCCAGGTGGTGTGGAGTCACATCCTTCCCAGCCCGTCCCCGATCAGCTGATGCTTTTGGACCGACTGCATGACATTTATCCAATGTGGCAGTTCTGGATGAGAACAACTTTCCTACAATGAAGGTAGTTCAAAAACAGACTAGACTGCCTTGTGTGATGTTGCCTCCCTACCCTTGAAGTCCCCAAGCAGAATCTGTCCAGGAGGTGATTCTGACTGCCCAAGGTCAGCCAGAAGTTAACAAGTTCCACTCTGAAATCCTATGCTTCTCTAAGACAACACGGAAAGACAGGAAGAACGAGCCAGCGTGCGCCATGGTGGAAGAACACGGGAGACCTCCTGAATTCATGCTTACATGCTGCCCAGGATGGGCCAAGGCATCAGATTTTCTGCCTCGAGTCATTTCATTCCCAGAACGGCCCTGTGACGTAGATTAGATGTCCCCATTTTGCAAATGACAAAACTGATGCTCAGAGAGGCTAAATAACTTAGCTGGGTCACCAAGTCAGTTGGCAGAGCCATGATTCCAAGTCAGTTCTATCTGATGCCAAAGTCCAAGTTTAACCTATTATACTGTGCAGGACCGAGGAAGAAATGAGCCGAGTTGATGATCAGCTGGTGGCTAGCACAAGTGGTTTTCATTTAATACAGGAGGCCAGAAAAATACCCCAGCTTTTTTTGATGAGAGGAGTTATTTTTTTAATCTTGGAAAACACTTGAGATAAGTTAATAATTAACAAATTACAAAATAAGGGGAAATAAATGAAATAACAAAGATGAAGAAATAAATGGAAGATAAGGTCCTTGGGAGGTACAGAGGCAACCTGGGAAAGGAGGTTCCTGGCAACCTTCAGCCATGTCCCCTCAGGGGACATAAACCAGCCTCTGCCCAGAGAAGCATCAAGAACGATCTTGCAAGGAGCAACAGGGACAAAGACACCTGCTGCTCAAACCACCTTTACGGAAGCACATTCATGTTTCTTAAAGGGGAAAGGTGGAAAGCTGGGTCACTGACACCCTAACAGCAGGCTGCCATGAACACTTACTGCTTGCCACCGGGGAATTCATAATTTCAGGATGTTTTTCATTAGCTCACAGGGTTATCGGAAGTGACCGTGATGGATTCAACCAGCTTATTAATAATTAACTCATACACTGGGCTTATCTAACAGCTTCTGATTCCTTTGGCTTCCATTTAAACACACATACACACAAACCCACACAACCTTCACAAATAGAACTTCAGGAAGAAAATGACAAAGGGAACACAGATATCATTCTCCACGGTCACAGCTAAGCCCAGGGGTAAGATGACATGTTTGACAAGGCTGTGAAGAGAGTCCTTGATACCTTCGGCTGCTGCAGGATCCACATGCTTCAAGCCAGAAGATGTGCTCCAGAAATGTGTGATGCATTTGGAAAGAACTTGTGTCTGCTTCTAAATACCAGATTAAAGAGCATGAGGTTCCAGAACACCTGAGTGCTTTTGCAAAATCACAGCCAACAGAAAAAAGCCCACGGCAGTAGGAAAACATTTGGAAACTTTATTTAAATTGCTATTATATATAAGGAAGGGTCTTTAGTGAGATTTCTTGGAGCTTATGAATATGTATTATAGTACATTCTTGAAAACAACAAAATAATTAAGTCCAGTATAAATGGGAAACAGATTTATAAGAGTCAGTCATATGTTTACATTATGCAAATTGTAATTAGAGACCTGCAACCAGAATATTGTTAAATGCCTAAAAGAAGGTGGGGGGCTGCTGATATTTGGACATTTTCTTAAAATGGGCAAAGAATATTTTTAGAGTTTTTGACAATCTGTACACTGAGGGTTTCCTGTGGGCACATCTCATTTTCACTACCCCGGCAGTGGAGTCACAAATTCAAAGCAGTGTCAAAGACCTAAGGTCCTCCTCGCCCCTGTGCTCACAGCAGTCCCTTCATCTGCTGGATGGGGATAGGAAACCCCCCGAACCTTGACTGGAAAACTCTCCTACAAATCTCAGCCACCTCACCTCCTGGAGCAATGAGGAGGCCTTGCCAGTACACCAAAAACTCCCAGACAGCTTGCTAAGCACACGTGTGTTTCACATTTAGCAAAAAGAGAGGCATCGAGGACAGTCTTATGTGCTGAATAGCTTGCCCCAAAGATGTCACGTTGGGCTTTGTGATACCAACCAAGCAGGACATGCTCTGAAGTACCCATGCTCAGAGAGACTGGATCCCTAAAAGCTGGAAATAACTTAGTTTTGCCTTGATATTCTCCTAAGTTCAGCCTATGAGCACAACCATCATTTCCTAAGTATTTTATTTCAGACATTGTAGATGACCAAATCATGATCCCCATTTTCAAAATCCATTAATAACTACCAACCTGTTTTTGTTTCCTGGGGATTAACCAAAACCAGTATCTTATGTTGAGGTTCATCACGGTGCAGGGGGAAAAAGCAAACAGACGAAGTTTCAAGTTTAATCTGAAAAAATAATAAAATAACTATTTTGTTCTTTCATCATAATAAGGGCACAGGAAATTACTTAGTTAATTAGCACAGTATTCATTGAAAGAACACTGTTACAGACGTTAATTTGACAGGATGAAGACAACACGAAAATGGAAACCTGGAATATGTCAAAGGTCCTTATCCTGTCTTCCACCCAGCAAACCTTTCCCCCACATTCACCTGTCCATCTATCCAGGTACTGATCCAACACCCACACTGCCAACCAAATGCCCTTCGGATCCCTCCCTTCTATTTGCCCCCTACTCCAGCAGCCTTCTCCATCCTAACCTCCTTGGGCCTCAGTCTACAAAAGCAGAGGGCCACACCCCACTGCAGGCCTGTGCCTGACAAGTCAGCCTCAGTGGTCCTCCCAGGGATCTGGTGGCCACTCTACGGAAACAGCCTGGAACCTGCCAGCCTCCACCCAGGGTGCCACTTAGGCTGCCTGCTGCCCTAGCTCAGTCCCGGCAGTCTCAAGATGTGCATACTCTCTCTGGGCCCTCCAGGCTCAGCCCTGGCTCCTTGTCAGCCCCAGGGCAGAGAAGCTCAACTGTGGGCTCCTGTTTGCGTATATGAGAAAGGAACCAGGATCTCTACAGCTGGGATTGTCCTAGGGCCTTCTCTCAAGTGCCAACATCCAAAGCCCTCTTTGTGGACATCAAACCCACAGCTCTCAGCTCCCAAAGCAAAAGGTCAACACATTCCATTACAAAGACTGTTTTGAAAGCCAAGGAGAGTATAAGAAAATTAGAAAAGAATGTGTCAGCTGAGCTAGGCAGGCAAGTTGCTTGTAAAAGTTTAAGGCCGGCCTCCACAGTTTCAGAGAACTATTTCTTAACATATCCTGAGACCCATAAATGTCTTGGTGCCTCCTCATCTTCAGGGTCATTTTAATGAAGAGTCCCTGAGCTGGCCCTCCACAGAGACTATATCCAGCACGGTTCATCCACAAGGCAGCTGTTACAAGGCCATTAAGCACAATATTTACAAAACAGTGCATCAACATGGAAAGATGCTTATTATAGACAACATTATATTCATAGACTGATCTCACCTATGATTCCAAATTATGCAAAAAACACCAAAAATCAGGGCCGGCCCGGTGGCGCACTGGATAGTGCGCCGCTTGGGAGGCGCGGCGGCACTCCCGTCCGAGGGTTCGGATCCCATATGCAGACCGGTTCCCGCTCACTGGCTGGGCGAGGCGCGGGAGCAACACCGAGGCCTGCGAACCCGGTGCCGGGCCCCCGGC